CAAGGATTGCTCAGTATCCATTCCAATACTGCCCAAGAATGAAAATAACAAACTTCAAAATTAGGCAAAATTTTTGGATTCCTTTTCCAAAGAGAGTAAGCTTGACTTCCGCCACTCACTCAAGTCCAGTCTATGTTGGGGTGCAGGCTCCTTTCTCGAACAGCAGCTAGTAATCAAGCCTAAAGAAAGAGGAACTGGAACCAATTTGTGGAAACGTCGCAGTACATAACTTGTTGTAAGATAAATAATGAATTGCACAGTCTTAATTCACAAAAACCTTGTTACACAAAATATTCTCTTTTTGGTCACCTAGGGTGACAGAGGTTTTTGTTGGACTTTGAAAGTTAGCTTCCTATACATGCCAGAGAGCGAGCAAGAGAGTCAACAATGAGTTAACAATGCATAGCAAATGAACAAAAAACCTCTGGACCCCAGAGCTATTTAAGGCTCAATCCTGAAATATATCTAAGTTACGATTACAAATTTAATACCTAAAAATAGTAATTTATTAGTTATTCTAAAAGAGGATTGTAAAAATACAAGGCAAATAAAACTAACAATATGATCTTAATTAGACAATACCTAGTGCAAAAATGTTGAAGACAAAAGAGAAAAATATATTACATTCAATTTGTGTTTTCAACATAAATATACACCTAACCATAACAATTAACCCAGTGTCAAACTCTATACATGCACATGTATAAGACATCTGTAGGAAGTTCTAAACATTTATCAGAATGTTCAAAAATAATTAATTTATTGCTTTATGAAGTGATGAGAATAATTATTATTATCAGAAATTTGTTACTGTCTGTTGTAAATGTGTGGAACTATTTGACTCTCCAAGGCCATTTCCAACTTCAGCTGACAGTCAATGATTGTGCCCATGATTTGTCATAGACTTCAAACTTCCACAAGTGGAATCCATTACATTAAAATTTCTGGTGTGAAGACAAAGTGACCTTGTTTCACCATTTACACGGGATTAAACTATTCAATAAAATAACCGCGTGAGTGAGTGAGTGACCGCGAGTGACTGGCAAATTTGTTTGCTCATTGAAGACTTGAGCTTGCTGTCTAAATATAACATTTGAAGTCCTAATTGAAATTACTCAAACTTAGCAATTAGGACCATCATTAAAACTCCAGTGAACAATCCAAGAATTTCTTTAATGGACTGTCCTAGTTTTGTGTCCTCAAGTAATTCAGGGATGACAGACACTGTGGCAATATAAATGAAACCTCCTGCTGTGAAGGGCAAGATCCATAGTGTTGCAGAATCCCCAATGTTTTCTGCCAGTAAGCCACAGACTGTGCCGGCTAAGGCTCCTGTGGCTGTTGTCAACTGAAGAAACATTGCCTGGAAAAATAGTCAAGTCTATCGTTAGTACATATTTAAAGCTTTGCAACAAATTTACAAAGAGAAATCTCCATTTGGTTCAAATTACTATTTTCACCTAATGGACGTTATCTGTTCAAAAAACACTGACAGATTCCCAAGAGAAAAGTTTGACTAAAACTGTGAGCTTCAAGGAATAGATTAGGCCCAAGGGCAAAATACCCCTACATATTTTGAAACTAATAATAATATATTCTGTTCATTATTCTCAGTTCTCCCTGGTTGCAAGATCTCAACAAAGCTGTCACATGTTTAAGTGATTTTGTTCGCATTAAAGATCTTGCTGTCCGTTCAAAACAGTGAGCCTGAACTTACATTAAGTACAAAAATTACACGAAATGTAGGCAAAATTTGTTTAAAATTTTGACAACTAGGTGATATCATTGGGGCATTTCCTGTTACAGTATATCTCAGGTTTGGCTGCACCATGCGACGTGTTTAAACCACTTCTATACCAAATGCATCCACTGCACTCACAACAGAATAGAATGAACCTCTGATATGACATTTATAAAATTAATGAATGTCATTCAAACATACAACTTATGCATATAAAGACGTTGATGGGACAAATGGTACAGTGGATAATAGAGTGTAAGATTTTTGATCAGTGACGCAGGAACTGGCAAACTCTCCTGAAGACTACATACCTTTCTCTTGTTGCATCCAGACTGTACCAAGATAGCAAAGTCTCCAATCTCATGAGGAACCTCATGAAGAAGGATTGTGAGAGTAGTGATTATGCCGAGATTGCGACTCACAAGAAACGAGGCGCCAATGGCCAGTCCATCAGTGAAATTATGAGTGAAGTCTGCAGCAAGATTTAAGTAGCCTGCCACCTTAATATCATCCTCATGACCATGTGGTTCTGCAAGAAAACAGCTTTGTCAATTTTTTTGAAAGAGAAATAAATTTTGTTAGATTTGTCACAAGTTGACCTTCACTTAACCATCACCTTGTCACTTTGCTCAAGGACGATCTTTGAGCAAAGAAGTCATGAGAGGTTGCCTTTTTAACAGTGAAACCATCAGGAAGTACTATTGGATCATTTGGTAGATTTGAGGAGGGTACTGGAGACCATTCTTATCTTATTTCGTCGCACCCTTTTTCAACTGAACCATGTATAAGGTCTGAAGGACCAAAATGTTTTATCCCCATCCCCTTTATTAGAGGAAGAATAGATCCTTTTCATATATGGCTGCCAATTATAAATTCGTTTGTAAGTATTAAAATTAACCTTTCTAACCTCGTTTTTAAGTTGATAAATCAAAAGATTTTTTTCTCTCAAACAAGGTTTAAGAGAGGCTAGTTTAAATGCATACAAAATAATTTTAAATTGGCAGCCATTTATAAAGTGTCTATGGACTGAGCCCTCCTGTTGGTCCCCTTTTCAAATCAAATGGCCTCATCTTCATTTCCCTCATTTGGCTATCAACACCTCTAGATCTTATAATGTTAGAAATACAGTAAACAAATTCCAGTTCATCGTAGAGTTTTATTTATGCAGAAATTTTAAGAACACGAGATAATAAATAAAGAAACATAAGGTGTAACCAAGTGTTCTTTGAACTTCTCAAGCATTCTTAAAAATTCCCAAGTGCTTACGTTGTACATACAACTTAGCAATAAATCACAAGATACTCTCTTGTCATGAACATTTTATGAATAAATATATTTTTCTTTCTTCATGTAAAGGACAAAATGAAATCCAGAAGGCCAGCCAGCTGCAACTTGCTCGGAGAAATGAAAAATTTGCCTCGCTGTAAACTGAATTTTAATTTTCACACTATAATGGGAATGATAAATTCACGTTGTCAAAAAATTATGAACTGAACAAAGGGATAGCGTTTGAGCAGAAATGTTGCTACAACAACCATGCTAACCAGGTCAAATAGACTGTTTCTATGATTAGGTTTTACTGTAATGAGAGAAAAAAGATTGCTTGGCCAAAACGGTTAAATCATCTCAGTTCAAGAGAGAAAACCCTCTAATTTTCGATAAAATGATCAGCAAAATATATTATTTATAGCACAATAAAAATATTGAAAAAAAGCACAAAAATTGCAACATCAAAATTTTAAATAAATTTATCTCGATAATCCACAAATTGTCGCTTAAATCATGTCTAAGATAGCTAAAATAACGATTTTCACACGAAATACTGCGTCTTTGTTTGAGGAAATTTATTCAGCCACAAAGATCAATTTCACACTGACACGTAGACGAAGACAGAAATTTGCATACGGATGATTCGCGCGTCACAGAGATCGGATTTATATTGATTTAAAACTCGAAAGTCTCGAAAAAGCTGAAAAAATACACTCCAAATTAATGGATTTTTGTTAAAATAAAAACAGTACCGTGGGAAACTAAAGCTGCCGAATAAAGAACTGTGAAATTGTTGTTAATGATTTGCGCACCGAATCAGAAAATTTTAAGATCTTGGAAATTAATTTTTTTTCGGAGAGTGGAAAGCGTGACAGAAGAATAATGATGTTGGAAAACAAACATTCAGACAGTACAAATTGAATAATATTCGTTGAAACCTACTTACGTGTCAAATAATAGTTCGAAACGATTAAAAAGGGTTTTTGAAAAGACAGCAGACTTTGTTTTTCTGGAAAAGCGAAATTAAAAATTTAAGAAACGTGACCTGAAAACCAAGCTCACATTTTCCACAAGCTTATAACATGAAGGATTTTCTGTCTTTTAAATATTTTACCTGAGGCTGTCTCCGTTTTTGTTTCCTTCTCTGTCGCCTCGTCTGTCTTTTTCCTTCTCCGCAACTCCTTATCACTCTCCTCGGGTAGAGAATCTTTGGTTTCGCTCTCTGTTTTAGTCGCGACGTCTCCATTCTTAGCTTCAACTTTCGGGGCGCCATGAGAATGTCCATGTCCTCCTTTAACTAGCCGAACAAACTTCTCTACCATGAGAAAAGCTATCAAGCCAGCTAGAACCCAGAGACCGACTACCATTTCTGACGAATGATCATGATGGCCGCCTGCTTCGTGGCTGTGTGAGTGCGAGTGAGAATGCGAATGTTCATGGCCGTCTTCTCCTCCGTGTGAATGCGGTGAAATCGCATGAGGAATTAAATGGAGAAATGCATCCCCCAAGAGGCCTCCTGAGGCAAAAGCCAGAAGAACCTTCAACAGAGGTTGCTGTTCGGCCGAGTTGCTTTGTAGTGGAATGAAAAACAAGATGAAGAACGGTGCTGCGCTGATCAGCAGAGTGGCGGCAATAGCTTGAAGCCACTTGGACAGGTTTCCGCCTTGATCAGATAGCTTAGGAGAGGTCCCAGTCCCGTGATGAGGCACTTTCATCTTAACATCTTCCGAGTGATGATCGTGGCTGTGCCCGTGATGATCGTGGCTATGGCCATGATGGTGGTGGTTGTGATCATGATGATGGTGATGATGCTGTTTTTCGTGAGGGTGTTCGTGAACATGATCGGTTTCGTGTTCTCCGTCACTATGCATACCATTTATTGCTGAAAAGAGGAAAAGCAAGAGAAAAACACAGTGCATCCTTCCTCTTAGAGCCATTGTTAGGAGAGCCACAGATCGATGACAGCTTGTTTGCCGACTTGCCGGTGACTGTGTCGGTGACTTTTACCGGTGTCTACGCCTGTCGTACCTCTTGTCAGCTGGTTGACGTGGCAAGCATGCGCAGACCTATGTAAACTTTCAAAATTCTCCCCAGTGTAACTCGCTTATAAAAAATGCGTAACTAAAAGAAACTGGGGATGAACTAAAATACCCAGAAACCCTTGCAACAAGTCAGCGGTAATCCCTTAAAATGTCAATACATGAAATTAATTTCACACTTCATGTGCAATCTTTAACCATCTTCGGAGCACGTTGAAATTCTTGAATGGCTGTTCGCCAAGGGTAAGATGTATTTATGATTTCTGCTTTCTTGTTTTCTTCTCAGTTCCTTACGATCGTGTGTCTCCCAAGGTCAACGTCGGCAACCAAACAAATCTTGTGCAGGTACGATTCCGGGTTGTTACCGGCGGATTTCTATTTTTAAGTTATTTGACGATCTTGTCTTTTTTTTTTTCTTCTTTCTGTACGACAGTCTATTATGAAGGTCCTAACGATAGAAATCTTACGTGCCCACAATGGACAAGTTAATATATCTTGTCACCGTCAGCAGTTCCCGTTTTCTGTTAGTAGTAGCCTTCCATCCAAATTCCTGGGCTTTATCTAAAATAATCATTTAGAGGCTAAGTTTAATTAAATTTATCTTGCATTTTTCCCCGCTCACTGCCCTGTTATCTTTTGACCTTAGCCTTGTAGCTTTGTAGGGTCTTCTCACCAGGATCCTGGTCCCTGCAATTGTGCCTCCCCACCACCTCCAAACACACACACTTCACAAGAGAGTTGTTAATTAAACTCTTTATGGAAATAACAAAATAGTTTTTGAGTAAGGTTACATGGAATGGATCAGAGGGCACACCATGTCTGCGCACTTTGCTAAGAAGGAGTGTGCCTAAAAGTGACATAAAGAAATTAAGGCCCAGTTCAGACGTCGTGCTCTTGCTGTGCCGAACTAAATTCAGGATTTAAGTCTGACAAAAGCACAGCAGAAGCACGGTGTCTGAATCAAACTTTTGCATTAAGTTTGGCAAGCAATTAAGCTCAACAAGCTCTGCCATGCTACACGACTCTGGCACAGCAGTGATTCAGACGTTGTGCTTTTGCCACGCTAAACAAAATTCATAAATTATATTAATATATTTTGGTTAGATTGTGTTCCCACGGGGAGTTAGGAGGAGAATTGCTACGAGGCATCAGTAAATGCTGAATTTGGTTCGACTCTGGCACGCCGTCTGAATCAGAGTTGTTTCTTTCCCGTGCTATAGTCGAACCAAATTGCAATTAAGTTTGGTACAGCAGAAGCACGACGTCTGAACTGGGCCTAAACTGCAGCATCATTCAGTAGGCCTAAAACAGGGATGAGGGATGAGATTATTACAAGCTACCTATAAACATGTTAACCTGAGCATTGTTCAGGTTTACTGGGGTGGTATTCAGGCTAACCCACCACCTCTTACCCCTCACCCCTCACTCCTCACCCCTCACCCCTCACCTCTCACTCCTCACCCCTCAC